GGTGGCCCAGCCACCTAATGCGTGATGCTTTAATAGTTCTCACAATGTCGGTCCCACCGAATTTGTCATATTTTTTGTAAATTTCGTGACTTTAAAGAATTCTCCTTACGTTATTCTCTTGAAGAGATATCTATTGTTTTGGATAGTCTAAAATAATGCCGAGTTTCTAACTGAACTTAAAACTTGTTATAATACAACTTTCATATGAATCTTTGATTTTGCAAAGCTTTTTACTACCTTGCTTCTTGAACTTTTATTTCCGGTAATTTCAAATTTTGTTTAATTTTGCCTTTAGACAAAATAAGTTTTGTATTGATAAATTCTATTTGCCTAGAGAACAATATATTTATAATGATTATTTTTAATTCTTTTAAATTAATGGTATTTCCATGGGAGCAAACTTCAGTTCAACTATCTTTTTGTTCTGTCAATCTTTTTTTTAAAATTTACTATGCAAAACAACTGTTTAACGAATTTAATCACAATTTTTTATGTTGCAGCTATATTGATGAAATTTTTTGCATTGAATTTCATAAATTTCAATTATTACAACACTCAATTTATCCAAATAGTTTCGTTTTATATTTTAATCTACTTTTATGAACAAAAAATGTTTTCCCGCCTAAGTCTTTAATTGATAGGCTTACACTAAGTCAAGTGTGTTTACTCCTTTCATGGCTGGCAACAGGTCGGAAAATGTGTTTTCGTTTTTGAAAGCTCCGTAAATTTTTAAAAATTAAGATAAATTGTAATTTTTTTGTGTTAGATATATTAATTTACGACAGAAAAATCCAGCTACATTTAATGAGTGAGTTTAATTAATCATTAGCATTATTTTTGAAGATACGAACATTTTTAATTTTTGTTCTATGATGGAGGACATCGAAGCGTAGCTAGGTTTAGCTGTCTACCAAAGTAACTTCGGGAGTGCATGTTCCAAGACCATGGTCGTTTATTTGTCTAGTAATTTCATTCTTCCTGTAGTATTGAGTGGACAAACTGATCACAGCCTATTTGTTACCAACTAAGCTCCAATCCTCTTAACTGATTGAACTAGAATATTGAATGTGGTCGAATATTTCAAAGTTATTTAAATTTTCTTGTTGGTTTTACAGACTGATCATGTATAAACTGTTATAAGAAGTATTTATGATTTCAGTTGTACCCAAAATACTTAAATTTACAAAAAAAAAAGATAAGTTATGCAAAAAGAATACATACGTAAAAGAATTACTTAAATCTCCCAATTGTATAAATAAATCAAAAATATTTAACTTCTATTCACTTCGGATTTAAGTCCAGTTCGAATTGATATTACTATTCTCTTTGCACTGTATGTATTATTAATTACCAACCTAATTTTATTTTGAGCAATATTGTATACACGCATCCTAAGTTAAAGATTCGTTCTCTATATTGTATCGTAAAACTAACTTTATTGACTTTTAAGTGTATTATATCTTACATTAATTATAAATTTTAGTGTTACTGAATAACAAAAATGGTGGCAGCTAATTTACGCCAACATTCCTGGCTCCAGGAACATTCTTGGAGCTTGGTGTAGTGAAATACTTAATGAATCACCACTTCGATGTAAAGTAGTTGCCATCATTTTTGATGTTGAGATGCACTGAAATTTTTTCAGTGTATAATTGAATAGTTCTATAGAAACTAATTTATCTCAGAATTTGGCAAAGTTTTTTAACAATATATAGAGGGTAAATTTAAAAATGGGAATTGTTTTAAAATTTTATTACTCAGGAAAGATTTCTATTGAGTATGATAAAATTTTGGATTTTGTTATTTAAAGTTACTTAGTTGAAAAGATATGAATGGTATATAAATTTTTATGCTTTGAAACTCTACAATTTTTGATTATTATTAAATTAAAGAATTAAAAAATGCTAAGAGAATTGTTTTTTTTTTACGTTTAGTTGGCTTTGGATAAATGAGTTTAATAATTATATGCACAAAAGTTTTTGGTCACCATAAATATTTCAGTCATTTAGTGAAATACGTAAAAAAGTAAAGTTAATAGTAAGTATATTTCCTCTTATCTTACGATATTTCTACAATATTTCTACTTATCTTCTAACTAAATTGAAAGGATTTCCTTTTGATTCCCAGGAGAGAAATTCAAATAGGCCGAATCTATAGGAGAGAAATTCAAACAGGCAGAATCAATAGGAGAGAAATTAAAGTAGGCCGAATCAATAGGAGAGAAATTAAAACAGACCGAATCAATAGGAGAGAAATTCAAATAGGCCAAATCAATAGGAGAGAAATTCAAACAGGCCGAATCAATAGGAGAGAAATTAAAACAGACCGAATCAATAGGAGAGAAATTCAAATAGACCAAATCAATAGGAGAGAAATTCAAAATAAAAAATTAAAATTCAAAATTCAAAATAAAAATTTCAATAGGAGAGAAATTAAAAAGGATGCTAATTAAAGAGAAGGTTAATTTTTGTGTATGAATTTGCAATTTGGAATATAGTCTATTCTAATCCAAATGCATATTCATGTAACAAAATCATTAAGATTGCATATAAGTACAAGAAAATTTGATTATTAGAGCAAAGGTTATTTATACTTTCTTTTTTCTTGACTATTTATTTGCATTTACAATTTTTTCATAAACTGGTTCATTTAACTAACCAATATATTACGTACTAATATATTTTAATAATTAATCTGAACTAAAGAAGGTATTAGTAAGGAATAAAAAGTCATTTATCTTTTACCACCCTGCAAAGCCTCTGAAAGGGTTATATTTTAATGCATAATTTTTGAATTCAATTCAATAAATCTTCCTTCCTTCCCGAATAATTCGAAATCCTAGATGCATAAAGAACGGAGGCTAAATCGAGTTCTTCAACTAGTGTAAAATCTACGAAAAAATGGATATTGTGTTCAGAATTAGGAATTAGAATCTTATCCTTTTCTCTATTCCAGTGTTGGTCAATGGAGGAAGAAAAAGAAAAAAAGAAAAACGAATTTCTACTTGGAGATTTACTTTCAGCCTTTCTTTTTTTCTTTCTTTTTTGTCTTTCCTACCACGTATTCTCAGGAAACTGCATAGATATTTGATGCCGGTTGTGCAATTTAACTCTTATTTTATGCTGTCGGTGAAACTAAGACTTACGATTACCTTACAATGATCTAAAATAGGCCGTGGAGTGTTTCATTCTTCAATAACGTTTAAGGGTAGTTCTGATAGGAGCTCTTCAATTTTGAATATATGCAGTTAACGAAAAATCAATGTAAGAAGAATGTTTTATAGTTTAATAGAAGAAAATGGGCATTCTGATCTAAAGTGCACTTACTGAACTTTATTTAAGGTAAACTAAAAATTAATATAAGAGGAGCGTTTCATATTTTAATACTTGAAGGATAAATTCACGTTTAATGAAAAATTACAATATGAAGAACGTTTAATAGTAAAAAAATTTAAATCTGATCCATCAAACACTCATTGAATTATATGTGTGATTAATAAAAATTAATCGAATAATTAATATATGAAGAAATTTTTATATATATAAAAATAGCATTAATAATANATAATTTTCTTTTTATCGACGGAAAATTTTTGCAGCCTCATCAGGACGTTTTTTTCATACTTTGCCTAAATAGCATTTGGCACTCTATAGAATGCCTAGGAATTTTATACAATGCCTAGGGAAAGTATGTAATAATTCTCACATTTCATACTTTGCCTAAAAACATCCGGCATTCTATACAATGCCGGTGTTTCATACTTTGCCGGTAACATATCAAATATATAATTTATTATTTTTTTAATAATTAAGTATCTTTTAAAAAATTATTTCAGTAAAATTCCAGTGGAACAAAATAACAAACAATAAAAATCTATACAGTCGTTCTAACAATATAGATTCGTAAAATATAACTATTCTAATCTATATAGTTATACGTCGGTCGAAGAAATTATGAAAAAGATACCAATTTATAAAAGTTTGTAAATCAAACATTTCAATTGAAAAATGAAATATTAAAATTCCTCAATGAAGAAATATGTTTTTGCCACAGTCATTCTCTAGGTCTATAACAGCTGTTTTTTGCTTTTATTTAAAATAAAATTTATAATTGAGCTTGTTTTATTCCTTCCAGCTTATGCATACCCAAAAAAAACTAACTAGAATATATACCATTCCTGCCTTGTGTATTCTTCAATTGTCTATCGTTTAATTTAATTTAAAACGATGATTAAATACTTTCAAATAAGTAGTCCATTCAAAATAAAAAATAATTCTTTCGGTTAATATATTCGCAATTTTTAATGAATTTCATTTGTGAAAAAAGAAAGATAATAATTTAAGAAGAAATAACACTAGAAGAAAGGTAATAATTTAGAATTGCATTGCCGAAAAACATTGGGAACCTCTGAATTAAGATGTGACACAATGCTGCACCTTGGATCGACATTTCTTACTTTAAAAAAAAATTTTCTTTTTCTAAAATGATTGGAAAATTTTTTCACAAATAATCATATTAACTCACAAGCGTATAATGTACTTCCCAAAAGCTCTTAAAGTTATTTGAGTCATTACTTACAACATTCTTTATCACTAATGCTGACACTTTAATTTGTCTTGAAAATATCGAATTGCAATACTTATCAAAATAATTGATAGCAATTAAAATAATTGTAATTTTGAACTATTTGGAACGAAAAGATAAGAAAAGAAGATGAGAAATTTTATCACACAGTTTGCAATTAATTTCAACAGTATAGTTATATGAAAGTGAAAACTTAATCTAGGATTACATTAAACAAGCTGAAGGAATTGACTAATTTTATTGTAAGTCAATGATAAAATAGCGAAGTTTAGTCATGCACTTTATTTAAACGTGTGTTGCTTATCAAAAAGAAAATAAGTACGACGTTGCATTTTAAGTTACGTTGTAAAATATTAATTAACTCCACATATAACACAAGTGCTGCGCAATTATTTTGATCAAACTGTCATCAGTCAAGGGAGGAGAATAAATCAAAATAACATCATTTAAAGGAAACTAAAACTGACTCGAGGTTTATCGATATTTTGTAGCATTAAAACCTTGAAATCTAATATTTCTTGATTTTATTTAGATGTGATATTGAGTTGTATGAGTTAAATCTTTAAAAAAAAAAGTTCTCACTTCATTATCATTGCTCTGACGTCACTCTGAAAATGACCAATGAGGTGTTGATTTCTACAAATAAGTGAAGGAGCTAATAGTGTGGGAATTTAAAGTTCTTGAAGCTGTTAAATGAACATAGAATTGATTTTCTATCAGCAATGGCTTGCCCGTTCTCTACGACTAGGTAATTTTTGTCATTATTTTTTTTAAAAGCAATTGGTGACAGAGTTCACTTTTTGTCTATTTTTTAAAATTTTTGATTTATTCTTTATTTGGCCGTTTCATGTAAAATTGTTAGAGAGAAAGCTGATTTAAATTTTGTTTTTATATATTTAAGCGATATAGAATTTAGAGAATATAAATATTTATTTATGTGTTCGAATTTATATTATTGCTGATACTATTAAGACTGGGGAATATATATAGAAGTTTTTAGTACAATGAATAATGATTAATCATATTCGAAGTATAAAATGCATGGTTAAAAATTATTTTTATCAAAAAAATTATAAAAATTATAAAAAATAATACATTCATTTTTATACATTGATGGTCATATCTAGTTTTAAAAATTTACTTTATATTCAGTTATATTTACTTTATGTCATTATATAAAGCAATGACTTAAATATTATACATAATTATATATTAATTTCACCTTTTTTTAAAAAAAATATTTATTAAATAATCATTTTCTATTTAAAAGAAACTTTAGAAAATAATTGATAGTCACATATTTTTTTAATAATGTCGCAATGAAATTGAAGCTAAGTCATTTTTTACAGCAATATTATTGTTCTATATAAAAATATTTTTTAAATTTAATCGCAATGTAGGGTAATTTCTTCCGTTAAAAATTATGCTTGTTTTTTCCCCTTGCATGAAACCATGTTATGAAGTTTTATTTGCTGCTTCCTTAACGTACTAGTCTTATTGTACAGAAAAAAAGTTTCAACACTATTGAAATGAAGTATAAACACTACTAGATACTTAATAATAGTCTTAATGTATTTGGATTTATACTTTAACTTAGTTGTTATCCATAATATTATATTATTATAAGTATTAATTTGTGTTTTAGTACGCCTTATTCAACAGTTTTAATAATTTTGTTAGAAATTGGCAATATCAATAAGCAAACTAAAACCTCTTTTGAAAATTTTGGGTTTTTCTTATGCTTATTTCGAACCAGATTTGAAGTATTTAATTATTAGAATGTCCGTAACAACTACAGAAATACGTATTTTAAGTATTCGATTCTTGTATTGAACCTGTCTAGAAATACCCAAAACAAAAACATTAATTTTGTTAGCTGTGATGATTAAAGCGTAGAATCGGGAGGTCCTTGGTTTGGTAGTAATATTCGTTCAGTTACCATGAAACTTTTTGCTGTCTTTTCTCTCATTTGAATACCGCAATTTTTTTATTACATTTATGTAATTGATTCTTGATTTATTTTCATACTAGTCTCCTACGGCGACCAGCTGGTTCGCCCCTCTTTGGTTTTGCCTCTTACGTCTTAATCTTAATTTCTTCTTAATCCTTGTATGATGGTTTATCTTGTTGAATTTGTTTGTTAAAATGCTTAGTACAACCTACGATAACATTAAAAAAAGAGTAAGTTAATTATCTCAAGGGTTACTTTGATGGATAATAAATCAAATTAGCAACTTTGTCAAAACCAAACTGTGCACCTATTTACTATTTATTAATTATGCCAGTCAATGAATTTCATTTGTGATGATTTTCTCACCAAAAAAAAAAAAAAAAAAACCCAACTTAAACTGTTATAATTTTTTCTAAGTTAGAAGAATACATAGACTAAATAATAATACTAAACTATTTCAAAATAAAAAATAAGCTTTAAAAATAATTTAGCTTAATGGGGGTGATCAAGAATTAAAAGACAACATGACCAAGTAAATTAGCATTTACCTTTTAAACAAAAATATCGATATTAGTTTATGTAATCGAAATATCAACCAACACTATCCAATGGAAATATTGATACCAAGAATCGAAAAGAAGGAAAAAAATATACTTTGCTCGAATCTACAATTTTTGAATTCCTTATCCACAGTTACTTTTTAGTGATGGTTCTAAAAATAATCAAATAATCATAAAGATGATATAAAATAATTTTTTGACCTAAATTTGACATTAATGACTTATTAATATTTTTATTTAAGTTTCATCAATTGCAGTGCCTTTTAAAAGTTTGTTGGTAATGTAACCTTTTTTTGATTTATAAGTTTGTTTTAAAAAGAAAATTGAGCAAAAAAAGTGTTGCATCAATTTAATCTTTTTCAATTAATTTATTAATTTATATTCAGCAAATATTTTATTCGATACAAAAGTAAATAAAACTTTTTTTCCTTAGATCTAACATTGCATTTCAAATTTTAACAGGTTTTTTGAGAACTTAAAATTTTTTTAAATTTTCAAGTTCTTTTCCGGACCTACAGTGGGGTATTTAGCCAATATACACGAACAAACACTGATTTTAAAAACTTTAATTATAGTCCATCTATGGAAAGAACTCCTGTCGCCATTTGTCTGAAACAGTGGCGGTTACTATGGTTACGAAGTTCAACATTCAACTGTTCATTTGATAAAACACAACTCAATTACAACCTTACCCCAATGCTCAATACCTAATGAAAAATCTAGCTCCAAGAACCAGTAAAATAATTCTTTTTACGATTTTGAAACCATGCTCGTTGAAAATGTTTAAATAAGTATAAATTTGAATAAATTGTTTTATTACCATTCTAGTAGTAAACGGTTTCAAAACCTCAAATGTAAAAAATGTTCTTTACCTCAAACTTATGGACAGAGAGCTGCCAGTTATTTTGCCTCAATTTCAGAATATAAATTCAAACAGTGTAGTATTTTCTCCTGTTTGTTACATTGTTTATTAATATTTTCTCATATTCAAGAAGAAATTCAATGAAGCTTGATTCATTTTCATTTTTTTTATCACTATATTCTACGAGTTTCTAAAGGGGAAAGTCATGGTAGCTGGACTTACATTCAATCACAGAGTTCTATATTTGAAAAAGGGAAAGTTGATCACTAGTATAAATTTTTAGATTGTATTGTGCTTGCCATATTATTTTTGGTTTTATATAACATTATTGAAAGTAATTTTATATTGGTGAATGTATGTACTTAGAAACATAAAATTTAGAAATAAAAAATGCTTGCCTTGGCGTTAAATATTAATTCAGGGTTTCTTTTAATTAACTTAATTGAAGCTGGATATAAACTATACATACAACTATTAAAACTATAAACACATAATAAATTATGAAGTTATTGAATAAAATATCAAAATTTCTAATTATTTTATCTTACATGAAGATGTTTTTTAAACTAACTCTTTCCTGAGCTTCAAATCATAATTTTTTTAAACGTGAAAGCTATTTTTTTTAAAAAAAAAATCAAGCGAAAAGATTTAGCTATTTTTTTAATAAATCAACTGGATTTGTGACAAAATACTTAAATTCATTAAAAAATAAAAACTGAAATATCAACTCACATTTATGTTAAATTATATAAAATATGATTTTAAACAATGAAATTAACAAAAAATTATCTAGAAATTTGCAACCAGGCTCAATAGCTTAGCTTAAATGTAATAAGCTTGTTACTCTTTCTCAAACTTACTTTATATTTCACAATTCAACTTACGAATATTGAGCACCATTTAGGAAACAGTAGTTACTTGTATTGTAGCATGGCACGGAGGTACAAGACAACATTTTGACATGTTAGGGGAAACGGACGAAAAATTACAAGGCGATTAAAAAGCGATGTAAATTCTGATGTAGAAAATAAAAAAAAAAATTTGATTTTAAAAATAAATTTAAAAATATGTACATTTCAACGGTTCTTTTCATTCAATTTTTGAGATCGAAATAAGTTTCAGTTAAATTCAAATAATCAATTTATAAATGTTTACAACCGACAAAAAATCTATATATATTTCTCTTACACGGCGACAAAATAAAGCCTCATTACAACTCCCCGAGTGGCAACGCTAGAAAATCGATCAATGATTGCCGCTAAAAATGTCACATGCCAAATCTAGCTGAGATGGCTCATCATATAGCGCTTTTAAAAACGGAAATTGAAATAACCAGAGAGAGCATAAGCTAGACAAAAGTGAATAGCCTTTGTCGATTTTAGCCTCTATTTTAGTATTTTCTTGAAAGCACTTTTTTTCACGAATTTATATATTACGAATTTATTTCATGATTTTTGATTTATATCACGAATTTATTTGTTTTACTAGAATTTATTTGTTTATGCAGGTTTTTCCATTGCAATTCACTTATTTCAATTTTTAATAGACTTATTATGGTCAAAAATTTAACCTTTTTAAAGAGATATCAGTTTTAGAAGTTTTATCTTAAGATTTTATACTATAGCACATTTCTAATAGGTTTAACGAATTATATGTCCCTTATTTGAATTCAAATTTATTTTAATGACTTAGTATTTACTAAAAAGATGTAATTTTTTTTTAAAAAAAAGTTGTTATATGAATTTGAAAGATTGTTTTGAATTCTTAGAATTTTGTGCATTTGCAATGCACCTAAGTTAGTAGCGAGCGAAGCGAGGGTGGTTTGCGAAACAAACCATATTAAGATTGCGTAGCGATTTACGGGGTTGGCGAGCGTTAGTGAGCAGGGGGCGCAGCCCACTAGTTTGTTGTTTTAATTACATTGGTTTGAAATTGATACAAGAACCCTTAGAATATATTAAAAGACTCAGATGAGTTATAATTATTTTTAACTGTGCTTTTTACATTGGTTCATATTGAAGAATTTATTGAATTTGTGAAAAAGTTTGCTATCATTAAGATGTCGAAAAATTAATTTTTATTGATGTACGTGACATAGAGGTTCGGCTGCATTTGTCCGATTAATTTATACTATTTTTGATTAGGAGAACTTTTCATTTCCGCTTCCTTGTTTTAAAATAGTTTGATTTATCTTATGAACTATAACTTATTTTCTTAACCATGTCTGCTCGCCACTTTTTTACGTTGTCAGTTCTATAAGTGTGAATGAAGAATTTAAGAGCAGAAATGTAAAATGGGTGTTGTCACAATACAGATGCACATGATAATAAATGAGTTAACCTTTTAACCCTGAATTTCATCACCGGTGCGACAAA